TGTTTCGCCAGACGTAAGAATTTAACCTCGCACCCATGAATAATCAAAATGTAGCACCTGGCCGTTTCGGAAATTTTAAATTCGGTCTGGTCCAGAAACACTGATTGAATTGGGTGTTATTCACATGCAGAGAAGACAACTTGAGCCCTAACTGTTTAGATCAAAAGGAGCCAGCCAACAAGGCAGTAGTGCTTAACCTTACAACTCCAGGGTCCAACCCTACAGACTGTAGGTCTCAGCACCACTGCCTTATTAGCTGGCTCCATTTAATCTAAACAGTCAGGGCTCAGCGCTAAGTTGTTTTTCCCGTGTTTAATTTTCACGGTGTGCGAGATCGATTCGTTATGACAGCTCATAAACGAGTTTTTCGGGGGAAAGCGAACCCGCGATGCACCCGCTGGTAACGCTGCGATGGTAACGCCAGCGTCATAACGTTTAACCTTAATAATCAAAACAGTACATGACGGGAGTAACGTGACTCCATCGTAAAATTAAATAAAACACATATTCTATTGTTCTGTGGAATCAGGCTCGCGGAATTTTCAACATGAAAGATAAGAGGTCCATTTTTTTTCTCGCTTGCTCATTGTTTCAAACTTGTACACACTCATGCAGTTCGTGAGGATTCTAAAATTCTTGCGTTCTGTAAGATCGGCGACTCTGCGGTCAGCTTCGTTGCGGAAAAAATTGCGAGAAACTGAAAATTAGCTATCGCCAGTGTGAGAATGCTGCGCCCGGGTAAATCGAAAAAAGAGTAACAGATGGTGTCATTAAGGGGCTACACCTGCGGTATTAGCTTGGCGCGTTATGAGAATTCCATTCCATAAACACTGATCAACGCCTTGTGCATGTACTCTAGATTGCCTTCCTTCTAGGTTGCGTTGCGCCCACTAATTTATCGAAGCACAAAATGTCGGCGAGGATATTAGTAATTATTCTTTCATTTACTTACGATCAACGTGTATGTATTTGAAGTTAAAAATTGTGAAATTAAAATGCAATTTTGCGCGCCCTATGGTGGGAAAAATAACTGAATCAATAAACCTTTTCCTTTGCAGAGTTGATGAGTGTTTTAAATTGAAAAGTCAACCAAGAATTTTTCGACGTAACATGGCAACCGTTTTGTTGAAAAGTGTGTCTGCAGGGACCTAAACTCCTTTTTACTGGTGCTATCGCATCTACGAAAAATCCGACGCACAATACCTAACCGACAGCTTTTCTTTTTGTTCTTCCCAAAATCTTGAGCAAGAAAAGTTTTCAGAGACCCTTTACTTCACATGTTGCTAGATTTATCCTTTTTCATGCGAGGCGTAGATCTAACATTAATAAACTTGTGACGATCAACTGCTTTTTATAGCTTTTCAACTCATACGTAAAATTCATACTGATTTTTATGAAACCTAAAAAAATGTACGTCATTGAGATTCATTTTTAAATTTTGCCATTTTCAATTATAAATATACAATAAAATTAAATGACCCTGAGTTTAACTCAGTGGAAATTTTGCTCGTTCGAAACGCTGTTTTTCCAACATTTAGATCCTTCATAAATATCGATATTAAGTAAGGCAAGTTGCCTCACCATGAATTGATTGTTTCAAATACATTTAAATGACAGAAAAACAGTGATGCCAAATTTCAAGAATCCCGTCTGGTTAACCGCCTGGTATCATACACTTATTTTCGTTTTTCAAAATGAGGACCTCTTGCAAATCTCGCAAGTTGGTGACAATGGGCCTCGTCCATTTAAATCTTTATAAAACAATCGACATTTATCGAAGCAGGCTGCTTCACCTAGAATCGATTATTTACAGTGGAGGGAAAAAAATGTTGCCACCTTGTGCCAATTTCCCGCGGTGAGATTATAGTAACTTTAGTGAAAATTCTCCATGGAGATCCGATTTTTCACGGTGGCGCGGAAAATTTGGCCTCGGTCCTGTGGTCTCCTGCGTCCTGAGAGAGGTGGAGGAAGATCGATTGGTTCCTGATCAAGTCACACCTCACTTTACGTTTCAAGTTTCTCGGCGAGTTTCTCTTTTGCCTATTCAATTTGCGTCATGAATGCGTGCCCTTTTCACGCGCTCAACGAAGTTGCTTCCGTGCTGGACTCCTCCATTTTTTGGGGGAAGGGACTCTGACTTGGATAGTAATATACCATCGGTACTGAACAAAAAAGAACGGAACATAATCCGGGTGTATTTATGCAAAAAAAAAGATGTGTGTAGATCATCAAGATGAACTTTGAACGTATAATTTGTGGGCTATATGGTTCCTCTTGATTTTATTTTTTGTTACTAGTTCGTTTTAACGTAAGTACGTTTAGATAGGTAATAGAATGGCAAGAAGAAAATGTTTATCAACTGTCCTCCAATTAATTTTTCCTACACCTAAGTGTTTGAAAGGTATGACGGCTGAAGAAGTGACATTTTGCGGGAAATTTAAATTGAAGGTGAAACTAGAAAGTTTTAGTTTGTACCGTTGCAGATTACGTGTCTTTGTTTTACTTATTCGAGAAAAGTACAATAATTATTATAATCTACCTATTACCATAGTTATCGCACGCCATTTTGTAGTTTTTCTTCGCCCACTCATGAAAATTTTCTTAAAATTTTATTCAAACAGTAAAGTAAAGCTCTATCCTCTCGACAAAATGAAATGAAAGCGAAAAAATTGTAGTTAGGAATTTTTGTTTGACATCATTTGGCGATTTCGTGCCATAACTATCATGAAAAACATGTTAAAACAGTATTATCAATATTTCAATTTTAACCTTACGTTCCGTTCCGTTTCAGTCGTGGCGTGAAGTTTGAAATAAATGCAGATTTTTTCATTCGATTCTTATTGGTCTATTCGCTCCCGGCCAGAGGAAGATTGGAAATGAGAGTCGGGTATGAAAATCGTTTCATTTTTTTTTTGGTCGTTCTTTTGTCGACGCGGGCCTAAGAGAACGCGAAGCGCCCAGGGGGCCATAGCCCCCTAGTAATCTCTAAAATGCTAATTCACGACTGATAGCTTCCAAACTGACGAAATACTCTAGCATTCAGTGGTAACGGATTTAACATCGAGAGCTTTTCATGATATTCGGAGCGTGTTTTAAACAAAATCAGAGGTGCCATCTAGTTTTTTTTTAAAACATTTTTTGTGGGATTCAGTTGAATCAAAAACTCTACACTTCAGTGGATTGTGAGGCGGAACTTATATCTTACTGCACGCGCCGCTGAAAATTTCAACTTTTTCGGTATGAACACTCGCACTACTACTACCTCTAATACCTACTTTTCATCTCCTTTTTGATACGCGCTCTCGCTAATTTGTGAAAAGGACACCGGCTCTCAGCCTCATTGTCGTGTTGTTTATACGAGAACTACACCATTCTGCACCCTCCGCCGCAATGCAATTTCTACCATTTTTATCCAATTTCGATGCCCACGCCGTTTCTCCTCTTCTCTGCGAGTATGACATTTATGAATGCATTCGTCGGTGTTCACACAAGTCTTATTTGAAATGTGTTACGTTTGTCAAGTTAAATTTTGAGGCGGAAATGCCGTGTGAAATACTAGAATCGGAATGGTGTTTCCGCTAGCAACAAGTAGTAGCCCTACGGATCAGCATGAATGTGGGGTTATGGCAATGGGAGGAGGACGCATTTGAATTCCCGTTTTCGACGTCTGAGATAATTTCCTTCCGCATCTCGGTGCTTCTCTCAAGTGCACGCTGCTGCATTTACGTGGCTCAGTTTGTTCTGTCAGGACTCATAAAAAATGTAGCCGGCGTATTGCCTCAGGGTGCGACCGTAACCCGAGAAGTATTTTGTGGCTATTCTATGACGCCATGCATTTGCTGCATTCTGTATATGAATTGGGTCAAGTTAACCGGGAAGCAGTGGCGTGGCGTGCTGTGCGATATATCGAATGATCTGCCATTTAAACCCATGGAAAAGGATCGATAAACAGGGTGTTCGCAAAGAACACCTTTATAATCGATTCTTTGCCATAGCTTCAAATGAGGAATATCGATAATCGATCATTCACGCCACGCCACTGACGGGAAGAGCTTTGGAGACCAAGCTACTCGTATTCTGCCGTGCTAAGGAAAAACGCCGTATGAGCCTTTGGTAGTTGCCAAATTGCCTCTGATTAAGTACGACTTTACAGGAGAACTTGCGAATATTTTCCGTTCAATTTTTTAGAAAATTTTCTTCGTAATAAATTAGATGTATGTCATCTGAAAATTTCGAAAAAAAATTTTCACGAATCTCCTTAAAAGTAAACAGTTTATCGAAGAAAATGTGGCAACTCTCGACTGTCCATACGGTGTTCTTCCTTAGCACGGCAGTATGGTTTTGATCGTCGGCGGAAAAGGCACTAGACTTTTAAAAACTTCAAAACTGAATAACAACGTGACTAAATTTAGTAAAAACAGAAGTAATAAGTAGTAAGGAAGAGTAAAATTTTGCGGTAGGAAGTAGTATTTTAGGCTCTTTTTAGAATCCGGCGTATTTTCTTTCAACTTTGACTCTGAAAGTATGCAAATATTTTCTTTTTCTGGCGAAAAATGCCGCTAATTTGAACGATGAAACGTCGCTACATCCACAGAAGATTGTAATTACTTGTCGAGTTGAACCCTATCGTGCATATAACACCATTAATTCTAGGGCTCACGCGAAAACGGAGACACGGCGTTATGCCACAGGAGAGACGAAAAGGCAAGCGGTGGATTGTTACGCACTTTCTTAACTGCGAGTTGTACACCTCCTTCTTAAAAGTCAAAAAAATTAGGCAGGCTTAAGGGCAGGAGACTGAGAATTCATTCCGGAAATTAAGCCCCCGGGAATCCAAAAACGAGGGGCGAGTGCGATTATCAGAGACAGTGTTTTCCACCCTGGAAAGATTTCCAAGACCCTGCGCAGTCGCTTTCGAAATCAATGTAGGTTAAAATGGGAGAGAGTACCGGGGGTAATCCTGTATCATTGACTATTAATCGTTTGTATTTTGTTTCCAGTAAATCCGTTGATTGGTTTGTTCGGACCATCATGCCACATCAATCCTCGTTTCCGTGTTGCCGAATGTATGCACCGAAAGAGTCAAATTCAGGGTGAGTGTTTTTTTTTATGAAAATTAAAATCTTAAAATTTCACGTAAAGTTTTTCATGAATCCAGGAATTTATGAAAAAATGCCTTCTGAATGTAGATTTTTAACTTCGACGTTGGAGAAGTCTTAAATTGTACTTATATTTTTGGGATTTCCAGGAAAGTAAAAACGCCTTCAATCAAGAATGATACTGCGCAACACACGGAAGCTTGAATATTTGTATCGTTAAATTATTTGCGATGTTCCGATGATAAAAGTCCGAATCCAGAGAGGAGGAGAGGAATGATCATAGAGGCTAACAATAAGAAGAAAAGTCTGACTCGACGAAGAGAAAGGCGCCTTCATTTGAGAATGATACTGAGTAACACACGGAAGCTCGAATAGTTGTATCATTCCATTATTTACGATATTCCGATGGTGAAAAGCGCAAAACATGCATCTCGCTTTTGATGTTGTAGATTTTTCATAACATTTTAGACATTTCAACACGTGCCCAACGAATGCTGAATTTTTTACCGAAAATTCTACTAATTTTCCTTCACTGTGTGCAGCAGAATCTGTTAAATGTTTACCAATAACGTTCGTTGGTTCGTTTATTCAGGGTTATTTAAAAGTCACGCACCACTGGCCATAACTTTACTTCTAATTATGATATCAATTTTCGGTTTTAGACGTTTTTCCTCATATCGAGGGGAAACATTTTTTAGGTACTTTCAGTTTTTGATCCTCTCGAGGGTAGGGGGGCGGGGGGCAACTAAAAAATTGCATGCTCTATGAAATTAAAAAAAAAAAAAATTACAAATTGTTTTTTAGGATTTGCATTCTTCAAAATTTTATCACTCCTGTTTAATGGTTTAAATATATGAGGATTACTCGTCGCAAAATATTTGTGAAAAACTCTAGTAACAGTCCTGCCGAGTTGAGAGTTTATAGTTCTCTAGCTTAATGATCACTTTTTCCGTGGAGGACGGTCACATGTATTTTTAACGGATACATGCGGTTATTTTTAATGATGATCATCATGATGTCAATCGGTATAAGGGGATAGCGGGTACGTAAGTAGAATTATTTTTCTTTCATTATCAAGTGAATGAATTCACAAGCACTTAAACACATTTCGAGGTAAAATTAGCTGGCATTCTGTATCCTCGGAAAGTTTAAATATCGCCGCAAAGTTCAACTGTTCCATTTCTGGATCCGAGGAAGAGGCAATGACTTTACAAGTAAGCAGCTTTGAAAGATTTTTAAGGTTACGCCCCAATGAATATTACTTTTCATTTCACTAGACCATCATGTACCGCTTGCTCACACATTCGGACTATCTTCAAACTCCGTCTCCGTTATCCACTTCAACTGCAGGTTGAGATGGAAGGCGAAATGAAATTTTAGTTTGAAAACATGATATCTCTTTTCGTAATACATACATAGGTGTCTCATCATCGAAATTACTCGTTAAACATTATCTCTTGTCTCCAGCTTCTGTAAATTTGGAAGTTTTTCGTTTCTTTGCGTGTACTGTTGAGTAAGAATCCATTTATTCTCAATCGATCATTACGAAACAAATTTACGAGGGTGGGTTGTTAAGTCTGCCGCTCTTAGGAAAACAAGGTCTGTTTCCAAAGAAAACATTCTCCTTTTCTGTGCGCTCTTGAACATGGGTATTGAAACCCATGCATGGATGTGAAAATGCTGGTTGTGTAATGTTTCTTAAATTGAACATATGTCATTTTATCATGACGAAAGAGTCTCTGTCTCCCGGCGTTTCCCGCAAGACGGCAGCACTGAATTTTCCTCAATTTAAACCCATGATTAATATCGATCATTGATGAGGCAGCCTACCTCGCCTAAAATCGATGGTTTTACATGCATTTAAATGGACCAAACCCCGCTTGCGAGAATCGCAGCTTTACCGACTCCTCAACTTTTCATTCGGTGCCCAAGTCTCAAATTATTTCATACGTTTAAGCCGGGGCAATTTTCATGATTCCAGTCACGGGCGGCAAAAATCCTTAAGCCATAATTCACCTTCTTATTGCTGTGATGCGGCCATTTGAGGGCACGGATCGTCCATATAGTTAGAGGCAAGGCTATATATGTAGAGGCAAGGGTAGGTTTTTCTTTGGGCTTGTCTATTTCTTTGTGTATAAACTTCAACTATCAGCTCGCTGGTTGGCTTAATGCTGTCCAATGAAGGCCCGCGTCGCAGCCGTGCCCGATTAACATAGAGTACATAGAGTCGTAATGTAAATGTGAGAGCTGGCGCCACTTTAAAGCTTTTTCCTGGTTCCGAATTCCGAGACTCCTGTGTCACGCCGGGTCACTTTTTCGATACGTAACCGATTGTTTTCGATACTTGGGGACCTGGCCATCTATTGTAAACAAAGAGAATAGGAATTATTGCGTATTCTACATCGCTATTTTGAATCGCAAAACTATCGAAAAAGTGACCGAAGCTCAGCGCACACCGGGCTCGGAACTCATCGACCAGAACAATGCCGTGCAACGTAAAAACGCCGTAAACGCCATTTTTAATTTTTTTTAAACAATCAGGGTGTCTACAAGTCCGTAACTTCCGGAAAGTCCGGAAATAGTATACTGATTTTTCAAAGGCGGTCCGGAAGTCCTGAAAAAGTGCGAACATTTTGCAATAAAGTACGGAATTTTTTAAATTTTTGTCGCAATTTGAGCGCGAAATTCACATTTTTGAAATTTTTCGAATTTCGTCAGTTGAAGGTACTGAAAAAGTATTGCATCTTTGTGTTGAGGAGGCATTGAATTCTCATGGGAATGTACTGACAAAGTACTGTAAGAGCACTGATTTTTGGCCAGCCTGTTTTAGTAGGCACCCTGACAATGTATTATAGCGGAAAAACTCGGTACGTGGGGACAATGTTTTTTCAGAATTCTTTCGCAAATACCATCCTGTAAATTTGAGATGCACGGGTAAAACATTATTTATTCTACGAAGTGTTAGGTTCCAAAAAACGTGGGAAAATCTTGATGGATTTACGGCGCTTTTGCTTAGCACGGTAGAACATGGCGCCAGCTCTCCCATCGCATTTAAATTACGACTCTGCATATTCTATGCCGATTAAACACTGGAAATTCAAGTGAATCAGTTTGAAGTACTCACCATTTGAACCGAGCATCCAGGCCATTTCTCCTCCCCGCCGCCCCACTCTCGGGAACGGGAAGAGTCCTTTTGTCTCTCGTCTGCTCCTCGCGTTCGAACTCACCAACCCTGCCGAACAAACAAATCCGTCAACACCAATTCAACGAGACCTAGCACACACTCAAACGCACGAAAAACCGCGTATCTGCACCCGAGAAACCTCTGACACTTACGTGCTTTTGTCCCCTCGCAAAATCACGCCTACCGGAAGACGCCTCGACTGTGTTCATTAAACTGAAAGAGGGACGACAACGAGAGTTCAAGGGATAGGAAGTGTTGAAATTGGACTGAATTTTGTCATTAGAACTACTACTCCTAGCTTGCATTTGAAGATGCGTATGTAGGAGTAGTATCTCTATGAATGATAGGTGATTTTATGGATAAGCAAGAGACAGTAGCTCCTCATTGCAGAATGTAGTCCAATTGTGCTCGGAAATCAGTTTTACTGCACATATAATGTTGACAATTCAATGTTTACCTTTGCTCTGTACCCAAATGAAGACAATCGTGCACAGATTTTATCACTGGACTAGGATATGCCAGGAATAATGAATGAGAATTCGAATGTTGCTAGATTTCCCCGAATAAAATATTTAATTTTGAGAAAAATATCTAGGTTCCTTTTGAAATTCGTAGGAGTGTCCGTTTCAATTACAAATAATATCACGGGGAAAAATGGATTGCTGATTTAACAATTAAATTGTTAAAAAATATGTCCGACATCTTTCAAATGTACCTTTTACAATAAAGGCTAGTTAATTTAACCGCGAGGGTGGTTAAATTAGCATTTCTTTATTGTAAAATATACGTTGAAACATGTCGGACAGTTTTTATACTTATACGATTCTTAAATCAGCAATATCATTTTTTTCCGTGTAATTGTATGTATGAGCCGCTTTTACGGCGCGCTAGGGCGCTCTGCGACGCCTATTCTCCACAGGAATCTGTCATGGTAGAGATCCTCCGGAAGATGGCATCTCTCCATCTCTTCATGGATGCCCTCTACCCACCGTTTGGCTGGACGCCCTCTCCGTCGCCTACCTGGGGGGACCCACTCCAACACCTTCTTCGGCAACCTGGTATCAGCCATTCTCTGCACATGCCCATACCATACCAATTGCTTGGTCATGATATCGTGCACAATCGTCCCCTCAACGCCCATTATCTCTCGGACACGTTCATTCCTGACACGTTCTCTCCTCGAGATTCCAGCCGATCTTCGCCAGAAATCCATCTCGGTCGCCTTGAGCATTTCTTGGGTCCGCTTCTTCAACTGCCACACTTCACTGCCATAGGTGATAATAGGCTTGACAACCGAGTTATAAATCCTTTTCTTGTTGTCTTTGGAAATCCTTTGGTCCCAAAGGATCCCATTAAGCATGGCGATGGCTTTCCTTCCTAGAAGATTACGGTCCCGAATGGCCTGATCCAGCTTCCCATCCGAAGTCAGGTTCACCCCCAGGTACTTGTATTGTTCGCAACTTTCTATATGTTGACCATCCTCCAGGACTATGCTTTGCTGAGCACCTCCGACTGACATCTTTTTTGTCTTACGGACACTAACCTCGAGGCCCCATTTACGGTACTCCTCCACCAACTTCCGGGTCATATACTCCGCGTCATCGTGATCTTGACTTATGACTACCTGGTCGTCAGCAAAGCATAGCGTGAACAGTGTTTCTTGGTCATTTAGAGGGACGCCCATGCCGGCACACTTTCTTTTCCATTCCTTCAGAACGTGCTCTAGATATATCTTAAACAGCGTCGGTGACAGACAACATCCCTGCTTAAGCCCCTTGGTGACAAAAAAACCGTCTGAAAGCCTTCCTTGGCACTTAATTCTAGCAAAAGCCCCCCGATAAAACTGCTTGACTGCCCCAATAAGTCCTTTACTAAAACCAGTTTCTTCTAGGACTTCCCAGAGTTTCACAAGAGGAATACTATCATAAGCCTTTTCAATATCCAAAAACACTAAATGAAGCTCCTGGCCAACAATTCTCTTCTTTTCGGTTAACTGGGTAACACAGAACAGATGATCAGCGGTAGACCGACCAGCCCTAAAAGTTAAAGCCGTTAAGCCGTGTAATTACTTAGTTAGTTAGTTATTTTTATTGGAGACATTCAGCATCCTAGGTTATTAATATCTTTAAAGAAAATATGAAGGAAGAGTGTAAATACAAAAATTTAGATTCCTAACTTAATGGAAGTAAAAAATTTCAATATTTTGGTTGCAACACTCGGATCATCGTAGTAGAGTGGATTTGTATCCCTGTTGACTGTTGGAGAGTAAATAATATACTCTAAAGAATTAGGTGTATGAATACGCGAGTCCTCTACACAAGAAAAGTTTGATTTTATCAAAAGAAATTTGGCAATGTCGAATGTTCGTTCGGCTCTTTTCCTTAGCACGGCAAGACCCAATAACGCATGAACCGGTGAAGAAACTATAAGCGAGAGAGAAATGAGGGATCAGGGTATTGAATCTGCTGAAATTTTGTTTAGAAACCAGTTTCAGTTCACAAATAACATTGAAAATTCAATAGCACTTCTGCCCTGTTTTAAATTCACATCCTTGAATAAATTTCAGTGTGAGCGTGAGCCTCACGTTACGTCGTTTGAGAATTGGATGGAATGAATTGGATGCCAAAAACAAGATGTAGTCTATCTACATGGAGTTTTTTAAAAAACAACCTATCACCTATCATCGTGCCTCAGTGGGTGCGAACTTCTTGAAATTCTTATTTCTCATAGTTTCTTTCTCTTAAATGTTGTTCAATTTCGGCTTCATGAACGCAGATTTACCGGAGAGATTTCGCTAAGCTCGACTTGTACCGAGTCATTTTGAAATCTACCTTTTCCTCAGATTGCTTTGACTTTTCAAAGAAGTTGTAATTCGTTTAAAATAACTCAAAGCAAAATGTTTCCTCCGTGCATTTTCTAGAATTATTTAAAAATTGCTCCTTGAAAAGACCGTGAATGTTTTTTTCATAAGAATCTGGTATTAGTCTCATAATTTTCTGTGAATCATGGAACCAAATTCCACGTGAATTCCCTTAAATGGGTCTGTTCCACGCAGGAAATACAGCCGTGTAAATATTGACATTTTAGGGGGAAACAGAACGAAAGTCGCGATGTTAACATTAAGAAAAGTCTGAAATCCACCCCTTAATGCGCGCAATTCGCCCAGTTTTGAACACCTTTGATCGAATTTCCCATGTTAGGAAACAGTTTCCAGTCACTGTATCCGGAAACAATCGCCGGCAACTTGCGGTTAACGAAAACCGACGATTCTAAACATAATATATGTACCTATAAACATAACCTCCAGATCGATGAAATAGAGAGATGGTGTGCGTAGAAATGAACCACTATCAAAGATCACGTTTCGAAGAATTGTTTTTTGTGCTAAACTCAACGCAAATTGAGGCGTTGGGTGCAGAAAGGCACTTCTCAGTTGCGTTCTTTTACACTCTTTTATAATCTCCACTCCTAATAGTCTAGGAAGGAAACTATTCGGCAGAATTTCTGATATTTTGTGTATGGCCCAGATAAGACATAATATTTTTACAATATTGGGCAAATATTGTCAGTACTGTCGCAATATTTACACAATACTGACAATATTTTGATAATATTATAATCAAAATTGTTTTTTTAGAAAATATTTAAAGAATCATCATTTAGTATTTTTAAAAATAATATGTTTACCCAAAACATTATAAAAATATTTTCAAAATATTTGTATTTCAATACTGTAAAAATTTATATCGTGAGAGTATTTTTAAAATATCAGTAAATATAATATTTATATTCAAAATATTTATTATATATTTTAAAAACATTTTAAAAGACAGTAATGCATTGGTAAGTATTTTCAAAATATTTTGAAAATATTTTAAACAATAATACTGCTATTCAAAATATTTTTAAAATATTTTCAATATCCTAATCGGTATAAGTCATCATACTAAATGCCTGCCCATAACGAAAAGTATTAAACATAATAAGGCTTAGATTTAAGACGTAGCTCAAATGTGTTCTTTCTGAACAATTATCCATTATTTTCAACCTTATTATTCATAAAGGTTATTGCAGTTGTTGTCAAATTTAATATAATATAATATATATTTTTTTGCCTCCCAAGAAATTGTTGAATTTCCACCTCCTTGAGGTCATTTTCAATGTATTTGCGCGTGATCTCAGTTTATTTCTTTTTTTGTTTCGTTTGTAGTTCATGTACTGTTGTGAATATTATCATTGAATGAGAATGTTATCATTCATTCACATCTGGTTGTTTATTTTTTATTTTTCAAATTTCAAATGAAACATTTAAATTCAACTGAAGAAGAAATTCTTGATCTCGTGTGCTTATTGGTCTCCTGTAGAACTTGCACTTAGTAGCTGTGCAGCTGTGAGATTATGGCAATCGCACCTGCATAGTCTTTATGAGGAAGACATCAAACTGCAATCAAATGCAAAATGCATCTCAGAATGTCGATGAAAAATTTAGAGAGAAAAAAATAAATAAAATAATAGAATGGTGGAAATAATAGAATAACAGAGACAAAAGAAGAGAAATAAAATGAAGTAAATCAAATTAATGATAAAATGAAGTCAAAGACTAAACTGAAGTAAAACATTAGAGGGAGCAAGGAGATGAAGTAAAAAAACTGAGATGAAGAAAAAAATAAAGTATAAGGGAAAAAACTAAATGAGGTTAAAGAATAGAATAAATTTAAAGAATTAACTGAAATCAAAAAAATTATGATGAAGTATTAAAATAAATTACAGTAAAAAAAAAGAAAGTAAAGGAATAAGAAGTAAATAATTAAAGAAAAAAAATGAAGTGCTTGAAAAAAAAAAAATAGAGTGAAGAAAAAAATAGAGTCAGCAAGGAAATAAAACAAAGTAAAACAATAAAATAAATTTAAAAAATATAGTAAAGTAAAAAGTAAAATAAATACACGGACAAATCCAGGCAGATGGAAAATATCCTAGTTGCCCGTCCAACTCGACGTTAAATACCGGTTTTAAGTCACAAAAATACATCGTCTAGTGAAGCTCAATCG